GGGGGAGCCGAACGCCGCGTTTCCTTACGCGGACGCGCGTTAAGGCAAGATGGAGGCGAACGCGCTCCAAGGAGCAACCTTTGTCCGGATCCGAAGGGCTGGGAGGAGGGGACACAAAACCAAGGGGAGACATCGCCGCGACCTTTGGTAACGTTCGCAGAGCGGCTCCTCTCAACCTCCCCCTCCTATCTTTATACCTGTGCGTCAGCCTTTTCCAAGAAGGCTGCGTTTCACAATCGCTGGCAGGGCGACCCGAAAACAAAGAGGCACGTTGGCTCAGCTCCAAATCCGCAGACCCGAACGAAAACAAGGCTTTTCGGTGCCTCTTCCCGCCTGCAACTCGCGCCGATTAATCATGAGCCCCGCTCCGCAAGGAAGGTGGCGGCGGCCGTGGGTCAGGGGTTGGCAGCCGGGGAGGCGCGAGGGCCGTTATGTCACCCAGCTCCTCCGCCGGCGCAGCACCACCCCAGCACCCCGCTGTAAGCAGAAACCAAGCGGCCCTTACGGAAAATAAAAGTTGCTGGATAATCACTGCTCCAACAAAGCCACGCTAATCCAGCTTTTCAGACAAAGAAAAGGAATTCGTAATTTAAGCATTATCGGTTTATTCACTGTAGATCAAAGCACCTCTGTAATCAAGCAGCTGAAATGTCTCTGGGCTCTTGGCACGGCTGCTCGGCATGCTTCTCTGGCTCTCCAGCCCTTCCTCCTCCCCAGCTCTTCCTCTCCTACCGGCAGACAGCGCGGCCGGGTTGGGAAAGGTCGGGCTGGTTCCTCCTCCCCCCCAGGAGCGACGTGTCACCCAGACGCAGCCGAAGTCATCCCTCACCCCACCACTGTCCCTGCACGGGGTATCGGCACCCTCGGCACCCAAGTAACCACTTCCCCTGGGGTGCTTACTCCAAACATGGATTTTTCGGCATGCTCTGCTATTCCCAAGCCAAAGCATTTGAAACACATGATGGACTAGGAGAGAGACAACGTAGTCGCAGTACTTCTCCCATCTTTACAGGACAATACTTACGCGGTAGGAAAAGGGAGGGCAAAATCGGGGAGATTCTCATTTTTGATTTAAACTGAATCCCGCTTTAAACCACGTTACCTCCCCATTTCTCAGGCTGAGCTCCCCCCGAGCTTGTGAAGCCCTTTTATACCCGACTATTTCCATTCCTGCAGGTCGGCTCATCCCGGCCTACTTCACCATGTTTTCATTTACAAGCCAGCACAACATTACGCTCCAGATACTACTAAACGCAGGAAACACCGTGAGATCAGAAGTAACACGGGGGGAGGGTGTGTGCTTGGTTCTGTACCCCTCATTAAGATCGTGATTTGACAAGACGTCCTGATACAGCAGGACATCCGAATATTTTGGATCCACTTGGATTCACTTTGACTAAAGCCAGCTATCTTTAGCCATCTGAAAAGCACGGATGATTTTTCCGTGCCACGCTCAAACTCCTTCCTGCTGGATTATTATATAACCCCGGCAAGCCCCAGCCTGCATTATTCAGTACAACGCTCGCACAGCTTGAAGCTTTCCTTGGCCAATCGCATTCCTCTTGCTTTGTTGTTATTTCATAACACAATTATGTGACCTGAAATAATACTTACGCAGATGTCTGCACCTCTTCTCCTCCTTCCTAACTCCCCACGAGTCCAGTTCCCCATGCCGGGGGCTACTCTGGACTGGGATTTCCCCCTGCACAAAGCAGACGGGCTTCAGGCTTGGGGAAAGGAGATGTGCAAACAGCGAAGCTGCCGCAGAGGAGGGTGCCATCGCCGGGCTGCCCGACTGTCAACTCCATTACCATCGCTTCAGGGGTCTTCCGCTACCCCAGACAGCCCTTCCGCAGTGCCGGAACCTGGCCCGCCACGACGGCACGTGCAGCGTGTCGCACCCGTGGTATACCCGCAGTAACAGGCCAGCACAACAGTC